CCCCCCCCCCCCCTCCCCAGTGAACAAGTTATCCAGCAAATATACTACTCAGTGATGTTTATAATCACGAAATTCTGCCCCCAAATAACTGATGTAGCGACAAACCGTAAATATACAGCTGTTTCCACTAATCCTCTGAAGGTAAAAACCACGACAAATAGTTTCTGAGATTTTTCCCTGAGCGTTTTTGGAGATGAAATTCTGATCTCGCTCTCCAAGGATAGTACAAAGTACGATGTCGGGGCAAAAAAACGGTCTAGTTAAAGAGCAATGAGGGCCATAGAAGCGGTCTAGGCGACGTACACCTCCGAAGGCGGACGAGTTATCACGGCACTGCAGAAGCTGTAGAGGTTGCACCATTCGTATCGGGACCCACACTTTGCACGGAAATGGCGCGCGCATTTGAACAGCTCGTCCGGATACCCTTTCCATGCAGCTTTTGTCGTCACATTCTCGTCCTACCCCTAATTTTACTACTTCCTTAAAGGCATCGTATTTCTTAAATACACCGATTTTCGGCTTTTCTTCGCCTTTTTGCACTAATTTGAGCTATAACATCCGTCTGACCCCAGATACCTCGACTGTTCAATCAAATATTTCTCTCAATGCAATGTTTTGCCTGCTTCTAGAAGAAAGGCGGAAGTTTTTCATTACTTATAAAAATGAAAATATATAGTCGAATTTTTCGAGCCAGATAACAGAATGGGTATCGTTCTTACCACAGAGCCATCTCGTCGACAAACAACAATCTCTAAGCCTTCGCCTTTGTCACAACATTGCCGAATCATAGTTGATGCGACCACATGAGGAAGACCGACCAATACTTGTCCATTGACCTGAAACAATTGCACTGCTGGAAAGGAAGCCCTTAAAGAGGAAATTTCTTTTTAACCTAAAATATTAATCTCGGTTGTGAAATCGGTTTTCATGGCCCTTTGTTACATGTCTATTTTGACTGGAGGTCTAGGCAGTGGAATAAGATGTCGACAATATCACGAAGGAAATGTAGGAACGGTCTGAGTAAATGGCTATTTTAGCTCGTTTTAAGACATCTTTTTGCGCAATTATCGACCAGGAGTGCAGTAAAGGTCCCTCTTTGGACGGTAGTTTGCAGATGATAAATCAATTTATCGAAATTTGAATTATGGAGAAAGGGGGAAAGCCATTAGAATCTGCATCAAGAATGGATTAGATCAGTACAGTAGTGTTTACCATAAGGAAGACTCAGTCCTGAAAAAGGGAGAATACAAGGTTTGTTTGAATTCCCCGGATTGCGCCATACATTTGACTTGCATTTGTAATAGTGGACAGAGTAAGGGGCCTTACCAACCTTACTCATGGGTACTATCACGGCCAGCTGTTACAGCGTTTTTGCTTCCGTTGACTACTTCAATGAATTTTGAGTTGACTATGAAGGGATGGAGTGCCTACCAGTTCAAGTGTTTGTAAAGGGACCCATTGACCGATTATGATGCCATGACCACCGCTATTGCCTGACTACATGTTTATCGTCTTTTTTTTCCTCGCAGTAAGTCATACTTGTTAGTTTCACTCGCCCAGTAGAGATCAAACAGGTAGGTTTATTTCGAGGCCGTCATAGTTCTGGGACCCAAAATCTTTCTGGGACTTTAATGAAAGCTAAACATGGGTTCTGATACCACCTTCACAACTTTCCGAGTCTTTCCGAGTGATAAATGTTCAGAATTAGATATTAAGAATACATTACACGTTATTATGAAATCTTCCTACTGAGAATATATTACCTACAAGCGATTGTAAGTAAAAACTCAATAACGTAGAGAATTACATTGGATGGCAGTGAGAAAAAAGAATAAAAATGCTTCATAAGCTGACCTCTAGCAGTTCATCTCCCGCCCGTACAGTCAGCGGACATTGTACTTTCACGGAAAGCACGAATGTGTTGTACTTTTCACGATTACGATTCCCAGCCAACGATATACCCAGTCCTGCTTCGGGAACTCGTTCACATGATACCAGTAATACGTCGCCGCTTAGATGCCCATATTTCCGCTTCAGTTTACCTGAAATCAACCCGAATTAGTATAGGACAACCCTTTTTTAAGTAGAGGTTTCTGCCTAGTACATCGCCGATGACATACATCAGAAAGGCAAGTTCAGCTTACTTACCCTGAGTGTAGCCGAATCTACTTTCTTCTTCCTCATCATCCGAATCTTTTGGAAGTTCAGCAGCACTCGTTGATGGTGAAATTTTTGGTCCAGTAGATGTAGAAGGGCACTGAATATATGAGGAACTTCAGAAGAAGCTCATGTAAACTCAGGAATCATATCGATTAGCGATCGAAATTACTAAGCAGTCAATTAAATAGAATTAGATTTTGTTAGCGGGGGAGGCACACACACGCACAACCTAGCTGTGACCCTGACCTGAGCCGTAGAGGTGCTGGGTTCGTCTTCATAAGCTTCTGAACTGGATACGTCCGATACTATCAATGGACCCGACTGAAATTATAGATACACTACAGCTCACCAAATCGTCGTTTTTTATACTTTCGGGTTGAAAAGCGATTCAGGAAAGGCAGAATTTTTAGGGGTTATCGAGTTTTCCGATACTTCATTACCAGCTTCAAAATAAACGTCGAAGACGTCTCAATAGTCGATCCTGTTGATCAGTCTTTAATCTCTTTAGCATTGAAAAACTTATCCATCTTCTTTCACTACAATCCGAACTATCCAGATGGATGCCCCTCTTGTTGACAAGTCTCAGACTGCTCCGCCCCTTTTGCTAGACGAATCCCCAGAAGGTGCATAGTACCGCCCATTTTTTGCACAATGCAGTAGCAGCGTGACTAGATGAACCAGTTTTTGACCTGAATAGTGATGACTAAGCCACGAACCCGTACTTGTCCCCGGAAAGGGCAAGTACGGGTCCGAGTCCCGTCCGGACTGAAATTTTGTCCACAAATCGCCAACCTTCTGAGAATAAGCCTAATGGTTTTAATTCACACCAATTTTCTGAGACCAAAAGTCTTTCTAAGTGAAATCCCAGCTGGAAAAGAAAGTTTTTAAGAAAAGTAAGAATGTTACGAACCTCTTTTCTGCATTCCTCGCTTCGCAAAGAATCTCGCTTACAAGTTGTGTCGTTGTTTGATAAACTGGTCGGTAACGGCTTCTCAATGCTGGCTCGCTTAGTTTGACTTGCTATCGATCCTTTACTGGGGCTTTCCTGCTCTTCTTCTTTCGCTCCTTCTTGTTCTTCTTCTTCACTCGGTTTGCTCTTCGATGGACTTGGTTGTTCTTCACTGACGGGCTCCGACGTTGGTTCTGGCTCTTCAGCTTCAACTGATTTCTGCCTGGTGACTTCTTCAGGTTCTTCTTGCTCTTTCGCCATAGGCTCCTCCCTGATGGGCGATTCACTCGGTGGTTGCTCAACGATAGCATGTTCCTCAATGATATTCTTCGTCACTTCAGGTTCCTTTTTCGGTGATTCCTTCTCCTTCTCAGGCTCCACTGGAGGAGCTGGAGGTGTTGAAGGTCCTGGAGGTGCTGGAGGCACTGGAGGTGCCGGAGGCGCTGGAGGTGCAGGTGGTGGTGGTGGAGGCTCCTCAATCTTTGCACTCTCCACACGAGTAGAAGCCATAGCTTGATTGGAACCGATCATTTGCTGAAAGAATGATGTAAAAGCTTAGAGTGAGAGCAATAATGCCAGTGTGAAGTGTTGATTACTGCTTTGTAATTGTTTTTGTCAACAGCTGCATTGAATGGAAGTATTCCCTTCGGTTTCAAATTACATGACGCCTCCTAGCAACTAATACTAATCACCCAAGCCACAACAATTTGGATGTGAGTGAAACATGGCAGAGGAATGAGTATTGATCGATAAGAATCACAAGTATAGTAAGTAATTGGTAAGTATAGGTGTTCCGAATCCATTCTTGCGTTAGTAGGTCACAGATGGGGAAGTGCAAAGAGGCGCCGCTACCATACGTATCGTTCAAGAGCAAGCGTCGATGGACACTCGATTGTCACGACGCAGACTGCATTCACACACTTGCATCATCCTAGGAAGAAGTCCGATACGTGGCGCAAACTAATAATGGTCAAACATTCT